TGCTCTACTCCAAACTCAAGAATGGCAAATGGAATGTTGGAGGACAGGAAAAGAGATTTAAAGATGGGCTCAAAACCAACCTTAAAATTTCTGGCATAGACACCGAGAACTGGGAAGCCCTGGCCCTTGAGTGCTCCAGCTGGAGGTCAGCTGTGACCAGCAGTGCTGTAGAATTTGAAGAGGCATGAATGGAGGGCAAAAGAGAGAAACGTGCCAAGAGGAAGGCGCGTCAAGCCAATCCCAACCAGGAGCGTCTTCCATCTGGAGACCAATGCCCTCATTGCGGGAGAACATGCAGGTCAAGAATAGGGCTCCACAGTCACCTACGTACCCACTGTCAGTACACCGACCTTGAAGGACAATCTTACTTGGACAATGAGAGATCGCTTAAGTAAGTAAGTAATTAAGTAAGTGTAATACAGTAATATCTGGAAGGTTGCCATTTGTTCTGTTTAGGCAGGATGGTGAAGTGTGAAATTAGATACAATGCTAATGGATATGATGCCTGATTTTAAAATGCCCTTTACCCTTTCCCCAACCAAAGAGCCACAAGTGATGTTGGTTTACAGTTCCCATTATTCCCAGTCTCCATGACAAATAATTAAAAATGATAGAAGTTGTTGTTCAATAACATTTGGTAAAACCTAAAGAGCACTGTTCACTATATAAAAATTATAGTTGGCCCTCTGTCTCCATGGATTCTCTATACAGTCAGTGGCCCTTGAAGGAAACCATGAGGCTGATGCAGCCCTCATTGAACATTAGTGTGAAATCCCAGAGGAAAGAGCTTGCTGTTGCTATCTCAGTATTCCAAACGTTACCATAAGTTTCCATTTAGATATTTCTATGGTGAAGAAACCTGGTTTCTGGAAGGACCAGAGCTTTGTTTTGTTTTGTTTTTGTTTTTAACTGATCTATAAACATACCTAGCAGTTGGAAAACATGCAAATGTGAGTAGATCAATAGGTACTGCTCCGGCGGGAAGGTAACGGCGCTCCATGCAGTCATGCTGGCCACATGACCTTGGAGGTGTCTATGGACAACACTGACTCTTCGGCTTAGAAATGGAGAAATGGAGAAATGGAGATGAGGAAGGGATGCTTAAAATGATTCTCATCAGGTGCCAAATACACCAAGGAGCAACTGAGGCCTCACAATCTCTTTGACACTTGCCTGCATTTCACTTGTTCATAGTCACGGTCACCCACTCCTTAATTATATAATTAGCTCAACTTCCTCACCCCTTTCTTTCAGGAAAGAAGATGACGCCAAGACATTCCCCCATCTCTGAACCATGTTGTGAAAGTTTATGGGTTGTGGTGGTCCCAACAGATGTGCCTACTCAAACAGAAAAAGTGACCCTCTTTTTTAATTGTTTGTTTGTTTTTGATAATACATAATATAATGTTACATAAGACACAGGGTTCCTGTTTGTTGCCATGGAATTAGAAGGCGTGTTACCTGCAGTTCCCTCATTTAATGCACTTCATGTCTCTGCAACCACAGAGTAAAAACCGGAGACAGTACCTGTGCTTTTAATGGTTGTGTGGAAGAGAGAATTTCAGGAGGTGTTGCTGATCAAAAAAACCGCGTAACAAACAACACCTGCTGGAATTCCCTTTTCCACACAACTATTAAAAGTACATGTCCTTTCTCCAAATTTCACTCTTGCGTCCTTAAAACCAGTACCAGTAGTGGAGAGATCCTGAGTCCAGTCTTTCTACTCCAGTTGAAACCAGTGCTTTAGTATTAACTGTGTTGGGACAGGATGTGTAGAAAGTGAGCCACATAAGGCCTGGTACCCCATTTTACTGTTAGTAACATTACCACCCTCCGCCCAGGAAATTCAAACTCCAGGATACCTTTCTTTAATTTATTTGAAATATCTTTTCACCCAAACTTCCACAAACACATCCCAGTGTTTTTTTTTCCTGTTACTAATCCTCAAACCTCAGAAGGAAGGCATCAAAAATTCTGTATCATGGAACCAAAAGTGACATGAGATCAGTTCCAATCTTATTAGGAGTGATGGTGTGGCCTGTGAAGTGGAAATGGTCCTCAAGCCCTTTGCAATTGCTTTTTCCTGAATTGAAGTTAGGTTTTATTTAAATGTCAGAATGCACATTACTTTTTTCCAAGCATGGTTCCAATGCAATTTCATGGATCTTTCCTTGAAAAATAGCATTGTTGTTATGATGTTGTTCACTGGCCGCTTTGCCATCCAGGCCTGCCACCTTCTTTAATTGGCTGGAGGATGGGGACAGCAGCAATAACACGGAAAAGGGGATAGAGAAGAGTAGAGAAAGACGCTTGGAGAAAGTGAAGAAGGAGAAAGGATTGGATGGAGAAGAGAGAGAAAAAGGTTAGATTGGGGAACAAATCAAAAGAGTGGACAGATGAACAGAAGGAACAACAAAGGGAGTGAAATGTAGAGTGGTTTACTAGGAAAAGAGATATAGCAGAAGGTACAAATCACAAGAAATGGGCGGAAACAAGAAAGCAGGGATACTGCAAGAATTAGAGTGCATCTGCAGTCTAGAAATAATACAGTTTGACAGCACTTGAACTGCCATGACTCAATGCTATTAAATCATGGCCGTGATAGTTTTAGAAGTCTTTAGTCTTCTCTGACAAAGAATGCTGGTGTTTCACCAAACTACAAATCCCAGGATTTCATGGCATTGAGGCATGGCATTGAGACATGGTGTCAAACTGCATTAATTCTACAATGTAGATACACCCTTGGTAGAGATGATGCAAGAATTTGGACTGATAGCATTGAGAAAGAAAGAGGGGCTGACTCCTTGGAAAGAAGTAGGGAAGTATGGATCATATCAGTTAATTAATTTTAAATGTTTTAATTGATTGGACTGTGATTTTTTTTTCAGTGAGTGGAATAATTCTGGCTCTTGTAAAAAAAAATTAAATGTAATAGCCATAGGTATCTCTCATGTTTATATAGGTAAGGTAAAGGTTTTCCCCTGACATTAAATCCAGTTGAGCCCGACTCTGGGGGTTAGTGCTCATTTCCATTTCTAAGCCAAAAAGCCAGCATTGTCTGTAGGCACCTCCTAGGTCATGTGGCCAGCATGACTGCCTGGAGCGCCGTTACTTTCCTGCTGGAGCGGTACCTATTGATCTACCCACATTTGCATGTTTTCAAACTGCTAGGTTGTCAAAGGCTGGGGCTCACCCCACTCCCTGGATTTGAACCAGTGACCTTTTGGCCAGCAAGTTCAGCAGCTTAGCAGTTTAACCCACTGCGCCAGTGGAGGCTATGTGTATACATGTGTAGTAATTTTAACTTTCCATATTTGATTTCAGTAGATGAGTAAAAAGTTATATTTTCCAAAATTCTTCATATGGAACAAGGAGAGTGGAAATCAGACACAGGGATTTTCGTTTTCGGTCTCAAAAGGATGTTAGTTAATTTTAACTTAAGTATTGATCCAGTTTTCATTAATATTCTTATCATTTGGCTTCATGTGTCCATTTTGACCTGAGAAATGTTGGCGTCTATGCCAGTGTGAACAACTGCAAACCACTTGAGATGAACGAAGTACATTGTCTGGCTGTCCAAGATGATGATAGTTATTTCTAGGGACAACAAAGTGCAAAGCCCTTCTTTTTCCACTTAACATGGATCAGCAAAGTCTTTATATGGTTATTTTTGCACACAATCCTGGTTTCTGGATTTTCTCTTGGATTCTTCTAGCTCCTTGGCCATGTTTTGATCCTCCTGGTCTCTAAGCCTCTCAAGTCTGCTCCCTTGGCTTGTCTCCGAAAAAATAGGAATTAAATGAACTAATTAATGCTTTGTTTTCCAGACACCACTTATAAAATCCAAACTTATGAATTCTAGTGATGCTAAAAATTGCTTGTGCAGTTGCTGTGGAAACATACTACCTTCCCACTCTCCATGCAAACATTTTGCCCCTTGGTTGTATTGGAATGAGTCTTTCAGAAACTTACCAGTCTTAAAGGAGACATTTCCAAAAGACAGAATAGCAGAGGTACATGCAGTTTGAGCATTAATGGGATTTTTTTAATAACATAGGCAAGCTATTATATACTATACAGCCTGCTATATATTATTGAGAGGTATGGAACTGGCCCTAGATTATGAATGAGAAACGATATAGAGGGCAGGGGCCATTCACAACCCTCAGCACTCTCCTGGTTGGTCATACCAACAAGTTTCAGCGCACTCAAAATTATGGGGTATCTGTTCTGATTGCCATTTTGGCAGGGTTTCCGAGGCATTTCCCTCTCTGGCTGTGCAGGGTTAGGAGAGAAATTCACCTTGACCAATGTGGACGCCAGTGGGATCTGAGCTCCAAAGACTGACATATCTCAATGCAAACATGCAGAAATATGTATGGCACTTCAAAACAAAGGCATGTTGCTGCACTTGCTCTGGATTAGTCCAAAAAGTGGCCGGCTAATATCTGCTCTCTAGTTGCTTTGGAGCGTAATCCATCGTCATCGCCGCTGGTTGGCTCCAATCATGGCAGGAAATTTAATAAACTGTCATTGTTTATTTATTTATTCACAGTATTTATGCCCTGCCTGTCTCATCCTGAAGGAGACTTAGAGCAGCTTACAGAACAAACATATGACAAACATTAAATGCCGATTATGCAATAGAAAAGGACAGACAACACAGAGGTAAATATAGTTTTTCCAATCTTATTTCCGGCATCTCGGAGGCTGTGCTTGAATCCAGCCACAATTGAAGATGTTATTCCATCTTCAATGGCAAGGCACTTTCCTCCAATCAATGTCCTTAAGGGCACCTTTATTACACCCCGCCCCCCACCCACTAAAAGTGGTACCTATTTTATCTACTCGTATTTCTGCTTTCGACCTGCTAAATGGGCAGGCGAGCTGGGGCTAATGGTGGGTGCTCACCCCGACACGGGATCGAACTGCTGACCTTTCAATTGGCAGGATTTTCTGCAGCACAGTGGTTTAGCTTGCTGTGCTAAGCCCAGCTCCTTTAAAATAAGGAATGCTTCATGAATTTTGTGTCATCCTTACACAGGGGCCACGCTAATCTTCTCTGTATCATTCCAGTTTTAGTATATGTGGATTCAGTGTGTTGACATATACAGTGGAGACCTCACAGAAGGTGGTCTGGCACCATGTTGGACTATTTTGAAGATTTGTGTCCATTTATTGATCTGCCCAGAGGAAGGATGTGAGCAGAAAGGAATGTGGTATGGCAGGTGATAATGGGATGAAGTGGGTTTTGATTTATCTGTTTCAGTCAATACAATGGGTGCCAGCCAGGTACACAAAAATGGGTTCAGGGTATTGGCAAATACAATGGAGATCTCACAGAAAGGGGTTTGGCACAATACTATAGATTAGGAAATGTTACCAGGATAAAATCAGATAATATTGTGAGGACCCTTGCAAGAGACCCATAATGTGTTCCCTGTGACGTTTCCAGGGTATTGTAAAGAGACTTTGCTAAATATGTGACTATCCCTTGAGGTCCAGGCTGTGTGAAATGATTAGGGAACATTCTAGGGAGAAGTTAATTGAAGGTTAGTTAAGAATAAAGTGAGAGGTCAACACATGCTCACTATCTGACCCAATGGAGCCATGGACTCTGGGGTTCATATTTTTGGGATCCAATTTTCATTAACATTACAATGAAGACATAGATTTCCAGATGGAAGGCAGTCCCAACAAGGGTTTGCTTAATACTCCTTCATCTTGGCACGTTTCTTCTTTTCGTCTTGTATTTCACTTACTATGTAACTCCCCATGGCCAAGATGAAGAGCTTTCCAGATATAGATAATCCACAGTGCCTAATATCTCTCATCATGGACCAAGTCGACTAGAGGTGATAAGAAATGAAATTCAATTATGTCTGGTGTACCATATACTTTTGATCCTCTCCTAGGTCTTCAAACTAGGGGGTGGGAGAAAAAGCAATTTGTTTCCATATAATGTATAGTTGGTTCCCTGCTAGGTTAGGATGAAGAAAGAACAAGGGCCATAATGAATCAATTGCATTCAGCTGCTTTGTTTCATCCAGTCCGTAGGTGGCAGTCATTGCTCAATAGTAATCTCCACCATGTCAGATCTTTGATGCTTGTAGGATCTTTGGTTTGTGTCATCTACAAATCAAAACATTCAAAATAAAATTTCATGATTCTCTTTTTGAAAATAAAAGATACAAGAAACATTAATTAACAATAAGAAATAAATGGATTCAAAACCAATTTTGACTTTCAGAGCATAAATGAGAATTAAGGTAAAATGGAAAATGAAAAGAATGGGGCATAATCTATCAGAATGGTTGTGGTTGTCATCTTCTTATTCCTCCTCTTCGTCCACTTCCTCCTTCTTCATATCCCAGCTTTATGCCAATGCTGGAACTCAAGTTGGCTCACTAATTCAAATTTGTTGTTGTTGCTCATTTGTTCAGTCGTTCCAACTCTTCATGACCTCATGGACCAACCCATGCCAGAGCTCCCTGTCAGCCGTTACCACCCCCAGCTCCTTTGAGGTCAATCCAGTCACTTCAAGGATGCCATCCATCCATCTTGCCGTTGGTCGACCCCTCTTCCTTTTTCCTTCCATTTCCCCCAGCATCATTGTCTTCTCTAAGCTTTCCTGTCTTATGGTGTGGCCAAAGTACTTCATCTTTGCCTCTACTATCCTTCCCTCCAATGAGCAGTTGGGTTTTATTTCCTGAAGTATGTACTGGTTGGATGTTCTGGGGGTCAAGGCACTCTCAGAACTTTCCTCCAACCCTACAGTTCAAAAGCATCTATCTCCCTTTGCTCAGCCTTGCCTATGGTCCAGCTCTCACATCCATAGGTGACTATGGGGAATACCATTGCTTTAACTATGCAGATCTTCATTGCCAGTGTGATGTCTCTACTCTCCACTATTTTATCGAGGTTAGTCATTGCTTTCCTCCCAAGAAGTATGTGTCTCCTGATTTCCTGGCTGCAGTCTGCATCTGCAGTAATCTTTGCACCTAGAAATACAAAGTCTGTCACTGCCTCCACGTTTTCTCCCTCTATTTCCCAGTTGTCAATCATTCTTGTTGCCATAATCTTGGGGGTTTTTTTATGTTTAGCTGCAACCCAGCTTTTGCGCTTTCTTATTTCACTTTGATTAGAAGGCTCCTCAGATCCTCCTCACTTTCGGCCATCAAAGTGGTATCATCTGCAAATCTAAGGTTGTTAATGTTTCTTCCAGCAATTTTAACCCCAGCCTTGCATTCATCAAGCCCCACATATCACATTATGTGTTCTGCATACAAATTGAATAGGTTGGGTGAGAGTATACAACCCTGCCGTATGTCTTTGCCAATCTTGAACCAGTCTGTTGTTCCATGGTCAGTTCTTACAATTATTACAATATAATTAAAAACAAACAAAAAGTCAACGTTAAAATGGAATTGATTAACTGGATTAAAACAATATAAAACATGCTTTTAAAAGTTTGTTAAAACGGTTTAAACAATACAGTTTAAAACAAGACAACATACTCTTACACCCCTTTTCTTAAAGATCATAAATTCTAAATGTCTGCCTCCAAAGTCTTCATCTGCTCATTGTTTGTTTTTTGTGTCAGGAGTGATCTGAGAAACTGCAAGTTGCTTCTGGTGTGACAGAATTGGCTGTCTGCAAGGACGTTGTCCAGGGGATGCCTGGATGTTTTGATATTTTACCTTCCTTGTGGGAGGCTTCTTTTTTGTCCCCGCATGGGGAGCTGAAGCTGACAGAGGGAGTTCACCCCACATTCTCCCTGGATTCGAACCTCCAACCTGTCAGTCTGCAGCATCAGGGGCTCCACCTGCCCATTGAAGGACAGCAAGGAGGAGCTATTCTAGCCTTCTAGCCTTCCTAGGCAGCCTCCAGTGGCGCAGTGGGTTAAGCCCCTGTGCTGGCAGGACTGAAGACCGACAGGTCACAGGTTTGAATCCAGGGAGAGGTGGATGAGCTCCCTCTATCAGCTCCAGTCCTCATACGGGGACATGAGAGAAGCCGCCCACAAGGATGATAAAACATCAATTCATCTGGGCATCCCCTGGGCAACGTCCTTGCAGACAGCCAATTCTCTCACACCAGAAGCGACTTGCAGTTTCTCAGTTTCTCAGAGCTGGACCTTACACGGTGGTTCCTAGGTAGCTTATTTTTGTTACAGTTCCCCTTTAATTAGATTGGTTATGCAATAAACTATCACATTTAACTAGTAATTTAACAGGACTTGTCTGCCTGTCTTGTATTGAAGCCCCGTTGATTGCACAACTGTTCAGTGACCTTTTGAAAATACCCTGAAGGCACCTGCTTGAAAAACCTATTCAGCTAAAAAAAATTAATGCTGTAATTACCTAACTCCGGATTGCCAAGAACACCAGGGAGGCTGCTTTCACTGCCACTCCTTTCCCTGGGGCTGCGGCTCATGCAGACAGGAGAGGGGTGAGTCCCAAGCCGGTTCCTCATTCTCTTCTTCCCCAATGGTTTCGCACTGTCAACATTCCTCTTATTTCTCTCTGCAAATGTATGCACCAGTGAAGAAGCAGGAGGAAATTATTTCAAGAAGCTTTCCTGTCACGCCAATTTTTAGTAAAGCACTTTCACAGACTAACTCAAATTTAAATTACTATACATATTTATTTTGATGTTGTGTACTTAAATACAATACAACCTTTGAACCTGTATAAAGGTACTCAAGAAACATGTTTTTAAAGACCCATTCAAAATTATCACTAGTATGTATATATGCAGGTGTAAAAATGAAGAAGATACCAACTAATAGAAAAAGACATAAGTTCCAAAACCACTTCTAAGGTATCAGCATGTATTGAGTCCCCTTCCAGGGTGATACAGTGGAGTATAATAATAATAATAATAATAATAATAATAATAATAATGATAATAATGATAATTTATTTGCTCCACGCACAAATAACCATAAGTGGGGATTGCTGTGAGTTTTCCAGGTTGTATGCCCATGTTCCAGAAGCATTCTTTCCTGACGTTTCGCTGACATCTATGGCAGGCATCCTCAGAGGTTGTGAGGTCTGTTGGAAACTAGGCAAGTGAGGTTCATATATCTGTGGAATGTCCAAGGTGGGAGAAAGAACTCTTGTCTGTTTGAGGCAGGTGTGAATGTTGCAACTGGACACCTAGATTTAAAGGCTTTGAAGCTGCAAGGCCATTAAATACTAAGCAAGGTGGGCAATTGCAACACTTACACTTGCCTCAAACAGGCACCCTGAACATTTCCACAGATATATAAACCTCACTTGCCTAGTTTCCAACAGACCTCACAACTTCTGAGGATGCATGCCGTAGATGTGGGCAAACCATCAGGAGACAATGCTTCTGAAACATGGTCATACAGCCCGGATAAACCCACAGCAACCCAGTGATTCCAGCCATAAAAGCTTTCAACCACACAGTTTGCTTTTTCTTCCCCGCCTGGCTATTACAGTATGTATTCTTCCCCAGTCTTAAACGCATTTGGGTGTATTTGTGTCTTTAAGAGATAGCAAAGGAAACTGCCCAGAGCTGGAGTTGATTTATCTGATCTATCTGGTCACATTCTTAGGAATCCTGGAGACTTTACGCTTCATTAGTTGTGGGAATGTGGACAGCAAGCCTTTCCCCCTCCAGCACTACATTCCTACACAGGACATAGGGAACAGTTTGATCATGTTATACAATGGGAACAGCTGTAATCAGCCAGAGAGAACCCCTCCTCTATTGAATATCTTACAAATAAACAGAGTCTGTATTATGCTTTCCCTCTTTCTAAGATCGGGTCTTCACTGCACAGTGTAAACAAGAAAGGAGGAATCCTTATGTCGATTTAGCAAGGCTTGATCAAGACATTTTGTTGCCTTGAGGCAATGTATCTTCCACATACAGACATCTGGTGTTGTTGACTGTCTTCAAGACACCATTGACTTATAGCAATCCCATGAATGATAGACCTCCAAGTCACATTGTCATCAACAGCTCTGATATGGTCTTGCAGATTCGGGCTGTGGTTTCCTTGATTGAGCCTATCCATCTCCAGCAGTGGTTCTCAACCTGTGGGTCCCCATGTATTTTGGCCTACAACTCCT